AGACATTTCTCCAAAGGAGATAAACACGTGAAAAGATGCTCAACAGCATCGTTAGCCATCATGGAAACACAAATCAAAATCACAATGAGATAGGACTTCACACCCACCAGGATGGCCAGAATAAAAATGACAGACAATGACAAGTGTGGCAAGGATAGAGAGAAACTGGAACACCCGTATGTGCTGGTGGGAATCAAAAATGGTGCAGCCAGTTTGGAAACGCTTTGGCAGTTCTCTAAAAGGTTAAACATAGAGTTTCCATATCACCCAGAAATTCTACTCTTAGGTATACACCCAAGAGAAATGAAAACATACATCCACACAAAAACCTGTACATGAATGTTCTAGCAGCATTACTCATAATAGTCAAAAATGGAAACAACCCAAGGGCCTGGGTAACATCGAAGAATGAATGAGTAACAAAGATGTGGTCCATCCATGCAAAGGAATACTATTCCCTGGAAAGGAATGAAGCGGTGCTCCGTGCTGTAACGTGGATGAACATTGAAAACATGGTGCTAAGTGAGTGAAAGCAGCCAGTCACAAAAGACCGCACATTGTATAATTCCATTTACATGAACAGTCCAACGTAGGGAAAGCCACACCAACAGAAAGGAGATTAGTGGTTGCCAGATGCTAGGGGAGAGGAATAGGAGTGACTGCTGATGCCTATGAGGTTTCTTCTGGGGGTGATGAAAATGTTCTATACTTAGAGTGTGGACGTGGTTGTACAATCCTAAGAACATGCTAAAATTGGTGAAGTTTATGGTATGTGAATTATATCTCAATAAAGCTGTTTTTAAAAAGAGTAACTTAAAAAAAATAGCCCAGTTGGATCAGATGAGTGATCGTCACCTAGATTCTGACTTTGGGGGCTGGAACAGGGTGATAATTGGCTACCGAGCTCTGGCCTCAGAGGAGGGGGGTCTGCTGTGTCCTCCACTGTAACTCATCCACCTGCAGAGTATTGAACTTGGAGGCCGAAGAAGCTTAGAAGCTGACCTGAGGTTTATGGGAAGTTCACACGCACACCCCACCTTGGGACTGGTGTTACCCAGTTATTTTGCTACTAGCATCTAGCAAACAGCTTCATTATTCAATTTTGATTTCAACTGCTTCTGACTGGCCTTTGCTAATCCTTGCGAATGACCTGGAGCCATTGGTCTGGCTTCGAGAAGGAGCAAATCGATTGTCATTTTCAAAGGCACGAATGCCTAGCTTTCCTTCTGCTCCAGCAAGTCCCGCCAGCCCTGCAGTCAGTCCACGGAGCACACCTCTGGATTCCTGTTCAGGCTCTGCCACTTAGTAGCTGGGTGTCCTTGGACCAGTGTCCTACCCTTCCCGAGCTTCAGTCTCCTCCTCCGTCAAATGAGAGCGGTCCCCCGCCCCATCCCCTCAAGGTCGCTGCTCCTCCCCATTCCCCAGGCTGGGCGCGGTTCAAGAGTTGTGCCGGCACCATTTGAGAACCTACATTAGACCTTGCAGGAAGGCAGGAAGATTGTTTTCCAAGCTGAACTTGGCTGTTCTTTGAAATCGCAGCGTGTGTCAGCAGGGAGGGTCGGGTCCTGTGTCCTTGATCATCTATTTTTGGACCACAGAGAAATGAGAGCCAGTGACAGAAAAACAATCTAGGGGACCAGATGTCTCAGGAGAGATTGTTACCCTTGTTAATTACTTAAACGACAACCTGCTACATCTGAGCTGAGGACCCAGCCTGCTCTCCAACCACGTCCTGCATGAATCTGTGTTCTACCGGGGCCTCTGACCTCCAGCTGCCCTGAACTTGACAGGAATTACTGACCTGGGACTGATCCATAATTTCAAGTGCCTCTCATTAGAGGAGACAGCCTCTCAATCTTTTAAAGCAAAATCTCTCTCCCAGTCACCTGAGAACTTGTCACTTAAAAAAAGAAAAAACTAAACTAAAATATCTATGGCTGTCATTCTTTTTTTTTTTTTTTTTTTTTGAGATGGAGTTTCACTCATGTTACCCAGGCTGGAGTGCAATGGTGTGATCTCGGCTCACTGCAACCTCCGCCTCCTGGGTTCAGGCAATTCTCCTGCCTCAGCCTCCTGAGTAGCTGGGACTACAGGCACGCGCCACCATGCCCAGCTAATTTTTGTATTTTCAGTAGAGACGGGGTTTCACCATGTTGACCAGGATGGTCTCGATCTCTTGACCTCGTGATCCACCCGCCTCGGCCTCCCACAGTGCTGGGATCACAGGCGTGAGCCACCGCGCCCGGCCCCTTTTTTTTTTTTTTTTTTTTTTAGCTCTTTGGCAGATTTTTCTTTTTCTTAATCTGTTCCCCCGCCACCCCAGATCCTCCCTTTTGCCTTCTCAGTCTCCAGACCTGGCACTGGAAGTCTGGTGTCCAGTTAGGGTACCTCCATGTGGCCAGTGCATGGGAGGGGTTGTCCACTGGCTCAGCTGCCCTGGCAGTGGGACTGATCAGGCACCTGGACTCAGAAAGTACCATGGAAGGCCGGGTACAGTGGTTCACACCCATAATCCTAGCACTTTGGAAGGCCAAGGAGGGCGGATTGCCTGAGCTCAGGGAGTTCGAGACCAGCCTAGGCAACACAATGAAACCCATCTCTACTAAAATAGAAAAAAAAAATTTTTTACAGGTGCACACCATCAGGGTATGGTGGCGTGCACCTGTAGTCCCAGCTACTCAGGAGGGTGAAACAGGAGAATCTCTTGAGCCCGGGAGGCAGAGGTTGCAGCGAGCCGAGATCATGCCACTGCATTCCAGCCTGGCGACACAGCCAGTGGAAAATCTGATTGACCTGTGAATTTGTGTGGTGCTGGATTTGGTTTCTCCTGGCCATTGTGGTGTGTACACACACACACACACACACACACACACACACACACACACTGTATCTCTCTCTCTCTCTCTCTCTCTCTCTCTGTCTCTCTCTCTCTCTCCACGTATCTCTGGGATGGTTTCGAAAGCAACAGCAAGGCATGACACTGGACCGGAGGCTCAAGATGAAATGAACAGCCCCTGCCCTCCCCACATGAAGAGCCCCAGGGCTGTGGCCACCTGAACCCCCCACCTGTGGCAGAGGCGTCGGGTGGATCGGGTAAGAAGGCAAGGAAAGAGGGAAGGGGAAGAAGGCAAAGGCAGCCCACTTTTCAGCTTGTAGACCAAAGCCATTCAACCCAGCAGAAGGCTGGTGCCACCCACAAGGGAGAGCGGCCAATGCCTCCCCCCAGATAGAGGGTGAGGCATCTAGGATATTTTCTCAGGCATTGAGAAGAATATAAGCCCCGGTGGATGTGCTGGATGTGCCCAACAGGAAGGGCTATTGGGAAGTCACATCCATCAGCCAATGTCACCAACCACTGGCGGCTAAGGTTCCTTTGGCAAAGCTTTGTATCCAGATTTGGAATCCTACCCAAATCTCTGATAAGTGAAACTCATAAAACAGAGTTACTCTTTCTAAACTGTGTGTGGCATGAGGGGGCCCCCCCTCACCCCAGGTCACCTCCCACAAACGCAGTTTGAACCCTCATTTATGTTTTCATATGAAAAAGAGGAAAAGGCAATAGTCCTGTAGAAATAAAAGCGAAATCCTCTCTGCTTCCCTGCCCGGGCTCACTCCCCTCCCTCCCAGAGGCAGAGGCTGGCATGACCTCTGAGAACATTCTTTTCCTTCCGCACCTTTCTGTCTAAGCAGATTCACACATATGCTGGAGTAACATGGGGAGGTGTTTCATATGTTTTAATTTTTTCATATCAAGGAAATCATGCTTAGGCTCCATTCTGTAAGTTTTCTGTAACTTTTTTTTTCATGCAACATTAGGTTTTTGAGATTTATACACATTGGTTCTGACAGCTCTGGAACAACACTGTCTAATATAACTTTCTGATAAAAATGTTCTATGTCGGCCGGGCACGGTGGCTCATGGCTGTAATCCCAACACTTTGGGAGGCTGAGGCAGGTGGATCACAAGGTCAGGAGTTCAACATTAGCCTGGACAATATGGTGAAACCCTGTCTCAACTAAAAATACAAAAGAATTAGCCAGGCATAGTGGTGCGTGCCTGTAGTCCCAGCTACTTGGGAGGCTGAGGCAGGAGAATTGCCTGAACCTGGGAGGCGGAGGCTGTAGTGAGCTGAGGTCACACCATTGCACTCCAACCTGAGAGACAGGGTGAGACTTCGTCTCAAAAAAAAAAAAAAAAAAAATTCTACATCCACCTGTGCACTGCCATTGAGCACTTGGGGTTTGGGGCTTTTTTTTTTTTTGAGACAGTGTCTCACTCTGTCACCCAGACTGGAGCGCAGAGGTAAGATCATAGATCAGTGCAGCCTCTACCTCCTGGGCCGAAGCTATCCTCCCCTCAATCTCCTTAGTAGCTGGGACCACAGGTGGGTCCAGCCATGCCCTGCTTTTTTTTTTTTTTTTGTAGAGATGGGGGGTCTTGCTATGTTGTCCAGGTTGGTCTCAAACTTCTGAGCTCAAGTGATCCTCCCACCTCAGCCTCCCAAAAAGCTGAAATTACGGGTGTGAGCCACTGCACCCAGCCTACTGAGCACTTGGTATGGGATTAGTGCAACTGAGCAACTAAGTTTTAGATTTTCTTTAATTTTAGTTTGCTGACACTGAAATAGCTGCATGTGGCTGGGGCTGCCATGTTGGGCGGGGCCATTATTAATCCCGCCATTATTAATACCATTATAATAATCCCGCCATTATTACCAATCTGATGGGTGTGAAATGCTTATTTCTCTTGCTTAATGTGCTATTCCCTGATGATGGGTTGGGTTGAGCATACTGTCCTGTTGGTTGGCCAATCCGATTTCCGCTCTGGGAACCACCTGTTCCTTTCTTCTGCCCCTCCTTCTGCTGCGGTGGAACCCCCAGCAGCAGCTTCTCTTTCTCTTGCACATCTGCGTGTGTGCTGTTTCCTCAGGGAAGCCTTCTCTGGCCTCAATCAGAGTTGGAGTCTCTATCATAAACTCTCACAGAACCTGGTACTTCTTTTGATACTGAACACAACTCTGAAGAATTTCATTGTGTGATTTTATTTTTATTACTAGTTTCTCACAGCATCTCAGGGCCTAGACCCGTCTCTGACACACAGTGGATTGGATCGAGTCCAATCATGAAGACAGAAATACAAGGATGAGGGTCGCGTCTTAGCCCCAACCCAGGACCCATGGACACCTTCTCTAGGATACCACCAGTTCATTCCACACGGGGATTTTTCATTGAAAGTAGGACAGATTTTTCAAGCAAGAATACAAAGCAAAACCTCAATAAATACCAAAGGGTCTGACTTGTGAGGATTACTTTGGCACCAAATAAATTGAATTAGAAATCAGTAACAAACCTAACTGATAAAATTGCCTGGAAATGTAAAATCACACTTATAAATAACTTAGGGATCAAAGGAGAAATCCAAACAGATATTAGATAGAAATTAGATTAAAAGAGAACTGAGCAAAAATAAATATACTCAAAACTTGTGAGATGAGCTAAAAGAGAATTTAGAGGGAACACAGTTGCTAATGCCGTGTTATATAAATGCTAATATTGGAGAAAAAAGAAAGATGAAAGGTAATTAGCTAAGCCAACGACTCTAGACGCTAGAAAAAGGACAACAGAGTAAACGTTAGTGAAATGTCAAAGGTACCATTAAGGATATCAATCAAATGAAAAGTTGGTTCATTGCAAGTGGATTGGAAAAGCACAGATGCTTTCACACGAGTTAGGAAATAGGGCCCAGGGCTCTAGATGCAGAGGCAATGTGAGACCTCGGTTCGCGGACTGCGGTGCTTAGGAAGGGGCCTGCTGTCTGGCAGCTGGTCTCAGCTCTGCCCAGGACTCGCAGGAGACCTGGGAGGGTCACTTCCCACCTTCAGACCTCGGGTTTTCCATCTGTAGTATGGGAGAGTTGGAGATTGAATATCCCTAAGGTGTCTTCCAAACCTAACTCTCTGGGAATGTTTTATTCTGATGCAGTAGCAGAGAGGAAAGTGATATTATCCCAGGAGGGAGCTATGATTCCCTAGCCACATGGAGTAGAAGTCTCGTCTAGGATTCAGTAGCTACTCATCTTCCCTCCCCCATCTTGCTGCTCCCAGCAGCAATGGCTTATTCTCATTTCCTCCATTTCACCCTCATTCCTCCTTCACCCCTTCCTTTGCCCCTGGCTTGCTCCTCCATCCTCCCCAGAGAGCCCTTCCTGAGCCCCAGATGGAGTTGGATCTCCCCAGTCCGCAATCTTATTAAATAGCTCTTGTCAGCTGGGCGCTGTGGCTCACGCCTGTAATCCCAGCACTTGGGGAGGCCAAGGAGGGTGGATCACTTGAGGTCAGGGGTTCAAGACCAGCCTGGCCAACATGGTGAAACCCCGTCTCTACTAAAAAGACAAAAAATTAGCTGGGCATGGTGGTGGATGCCTGTAACCCCAGTTACTCAGGAGGCTGAAGCAGGAGAATCACTTGAACCCAGGAGGCGGAGATTGCAGTGAGCCACGATTGCACCACTGCACTCCAGCCTGGGCAATGACAGCAAAACTCTGTTTAAAAAAAAAAAAAAATAGCTTTTGTCTAAATGTCACAAACAATCACAGGTATAGTGTGTTTAGTGACCTCCCAAGACATCTTGCCGGGTCCATGTGGGCTCTGCCTTCCTCACCGGTGTATTTCCAGGGCACTGCGTGGCAGGCAGGGCTCCATCCTTATTTCTGCGATACTATTTAGATTTGTGCAATGCTCCCCATTCAAACAGGACCAGCTCCTTCGCCAACTGGGATAAAGCTGCCCGCCTGCCCGCCCTCCGGGCTCCCAGGGCTGCTGGCAGCTGTGGCTCTTGCCTCTTATTTACCTGCATTGACCTTAGAGCAACTCAGAGCTCCATTCAGCAAAGCTGTCTCCTGCCAAAGCCGTTACAATTTCTTAGCTCCAGGCAGAGACAGACCGCAGATGGCTTAATTTAGAAGCATCTCAGAAGGAATTCCTTGCTCCATAGCTCTTCATTCTTTGACTCCAGGGGTCCGCGGGGTCGTGACCACACAAGGGCTTGAGGCCTGACTTGTAATCAGGCTCCTCATGTGTGGCTGAGCCGCTTTGAGAGGGGTGAGTGTGCACGTGGGGCAGGAGCCATGACCTTGCAGCCAGCCACTTTGACTTCACGGACTCCGGGAGCACTTAATAAGAGGCAGTGGAGCTCGTGACGCAGGGCTTGGGGTCTGGAGTCTCACAGCCCTGGGTTCAATCTGTGAAACGGGGCAAATATGACTTACCTTCCGGGACCTCCACTTTCCCATCTGTAAAATGGAGGCAACAATGGTGCAGGCCTCCCCAGGGTGTTCTGAGGCTTGTGTGAAACACATGCACAGCACCCCGCATATAGCAGGTCTGTTCTTGTCCTAGACTTGCTGTTGGCAAGGGGCTGAATGTGCCAGTGCCGGCCTCCAGGACAAATTTTGCGGAGAGGCATCCAGCTGCGAGGCCCTTTGAGGACTGGAACTCCCCTCTCCACTGACCACTGTTTTTTTGGTTAGGAATTTGGAGACTTCGTGGATACAGAACAGGCCCCACCTCCCTTCTCTTTCTAAAGGGTTCATCCCACCTGGGGTAAAGGCTTCTGCTTGAGTTCACTTTCATTAGAGTCCGCCAGGCCCAGGCACTAAGCATCTCCTTTGGTTTTCGCCTCCAGACTCTGCCTCACTGGGCCCAGGCGGCACGGCCCCCTCCGGCCTCTGCAGATCTGTTTCCCTTCTGGTCCCTCCCACCTCCCTCATCCCAGTTTTTCCAGGGCACATTCAAGTCCCCCCTGGCGTGGCTGGTCAGCAGAGAGGGCAGGCAGGTGCTCTCGACTTCCTTCACTCATTCATTCATACATTTGGTCGCCCACCCAACCTTGTTTAAACACTTCTCAGATGCCAGGTTCTATGTCAGGCACTGGGGGTCCCTCAGGGAACAGGCCAGGAGCAGACCCAGCTTCACAGAGGCTGAACCCTTCCTTGAGCTCCCCTCTGGGGTGAATTAACTCCGTGAGATTCCAGTTGGAATGGGAAGTCATCCACATCAGAGGGCACAGGCGACATGCGTTCTGCCTCTCCCAATGTCAGCACACAGTAGGTGCCAAAATGGGTGTGGTCAGTCACGGGGAGGCGGCAGGGGGGAGCCTCTTGTGCCCAAAACACCCCTTTAGAAAACCAAGGGGAAGATGGAACTTGGAACTCTGAAGTGCAGGGGGGGTGTGCTTAGCAGTTGCTGGCACACAGTAGGTGCTTAATAAATAGTTTTTAGATGGATGGATGGGTGAATGCTTCTGCTTCAGTGAAGTTCCTAAGTAAAGGGAAATTGTGAAACCAAGAAAAATTTCCCATCAGGGTTCTCCTTTGTCCTTGTGTGGTTAGGCTGAGCAGCTTTTCAGGGCTTTAGTCCTCCAGCTGCCTTCTTGGTATATGAGATGAGTGGGTGCTGGTGAGCCTCCTGCCACCAGCCCGGCCAGCCACAGCCCCGCCCACCACAGCCCCGCCCACCATCTCTGCTTGCTGATTTGCCCAGGGAATGGCTTGAGGACTGTATTAGCTTCTAGAGGCTGCTATAACAAGTTATCAC